AACAAACATACCGTATAGTGGGTGCAGACACCAGACATATAAGCAGCAGCCGGACCAGGTTGAGCATGTGAGACGACGGCACGTAGAAGATGTGTTTGAGGAAGAAGGTGTTGAGCTCCGACAGCTGCCACGACACAATCAGGATCCACACAGCGATGATCCGCATGGTGGTCGAGTTGGGGTCCAGCCATCTCACATACAGCCAGCTGGGGGGATCAATGGAGAAGGTCAAAGTTAGTTTGTTTTAGTAGAGTTTTTTCGGCGCTCACAACTTTATAAGGTCATATGATCGCCAAAGGGTGGATGTCAACAGAGAAGTACTTACAGGGAATCAGTCTTACTCTGCTCACCTCTCTAGCTTCAACAGCACAAAGTCTGCTGCTCTCACTATCAAGGCACCCCGGAAATAGCGGGTCACAAGAGTGTGACAAACATACCAAACAAAGTAGAGGAAAATGACAACAGTAAGGATCAGTAAAGAAAAAGCGGCAGTTCCCTGTTGTAGTTCAGGCACAGTTATGAGCATGACATTGTTGGATCAGCCCATTTACAATTCTACTGTGCATTAGAACGAGAAATGTCCCCCCTTTGGGAATGGCCTAAAGACACTTCAGTCAGTGGCACCGCCCTGGGGGGTAAGGTCAAAGTTAGTTGGTGTAGGTCAAGATATCTGTAAACCCCTGAAATCTGGGTTAGCCACTTGTCTTTAAAAGCGAACATATAACACAAGCCAGGATGGGGGTCCTCCTGGCCTAGAGGTTAAGGTGTTCGCCTCTCAACCAAAGGTCCCGGGTTCGAGTCCGGGTAGCGACAGAAAATTTTCTTCTCTAAAATTGTCTCCTTTCACCTCTTTTCCTGTTCTCCAGCAATGTTCTGCGGTCTGCTTTCCTCTCCACTTTCTTCCCCCACCCTTCACCTCCTTTGCCCCCTCCTCTGGACTCCTGACTCTGTCTGCAGCCTTTCTACTGCTACTCCATGGCTCCTTCTTACTGCTGTCTTTCAGCCACTCCCCTGACTTCTGGTAAGAAAGATCTACATTTAGCCTCCTTGGATAAGGCCGAAGAATCTCGGAGGGCCCATGTGCAAGTTGCGCACGCTACAGATCCCTTGATGGTCTAAAATCGATAAGCGCAGGCTTTGGCCGCCACCCGGGCAAAATTCCAAATTTTTAACCAACTGAAAAAGTTTAGTGTGTCCCGCACGCTCATCATATGACCTTATGAAGTTGCAAGGGCCGTAAAACACTGACCAAAAAAAGAAAAAAAAAAAGAAGCCAAGAGGTCAGTGTCAGGTTGTGTCAGCCTCACTGTGGACCCAGCACTAGGCCCACAAGTCGGGAACAGAGACTGTATCCTGTACTTTGATCGTAGCCAGAAGGCTCACAAGTCGAGAACAGAGACTGTATCCTGTACTTTGATCGTAGCCAGAAGGCTCACAAGTCGGGAACAGATACTGTATCCTGTACTTTGATCGTAGCCAGAAGGCTCACAAGTCGGGAACAGATACTGTATCCTGTACTTTGATCGTAGCTGAGAAGCCAGGAGGGGGGGGGTGAAAGTTATATAGTTTTAGTCAGAGCCTTACAGCATCTTTTTTAGTTTTAGTAACAGTTTTACAGCACTTGCAACACAGTAAGGTCATATAAGTGCCGAAGATTAGAGGTGTTACAAGAGAGTAACAAACACAAAAAAGGAGGAAGAGAGATGATGAAGATAGCTGCGTGACAGAAAAGAAGGAGCAAGCTACACTAGAGCACCCGCCAACCACCCACAGTAAAAGTTTTACATCATCTGCAAAACCAATGGGATTGTTATCTCTGAGAAAATAACTGGAGAGGGGAGAGGGGAGGGTGAAAGGTGTTTGTTTTACTTTTAGCCAGAGCTTTGCGACACTTGCACAGACAAAATAGGTCATAGAAGTGCCAAACATTAGAGGTGTTACCGGAGGGAGGTGTTAGTTTTGCTTTTAGAAAGACTTTTACGGCACTTACAACACAAATAGGTCGTATAAGTGCCGAAGATTAGAGGTGTTACCAGAGAGCAACATACAAAGAAAAGAAGGAGGAGAGATAAGCCAGATAACAGATGTTTGAAAGAGGAGCGATAAAAGGATGGAGAATATTTGATAGGAAAGAAGGAGTAAACCAAACCAGAGCACGAGCCAACCACTACTAGAAAATAACATACAATACAAAAAAAGGAGAGATAAGGACAATATGGTCGCTTTAAGGACAAGAGGGCTAACCCAGATTTTGGGGGTTTTCAGCAATCTTGACCTACACCAAAGTTTGGTTTCAGTGATGTGTATATTTGTTTGGTTATAGAGAAAATTCTTCTTGTCTTTTAAAGAAACTGAACAAGGGGCAAAAACTTTACCTTTGATTTTCTCAAAACAGCATTTTTGGGGAAAGCCCTCTTGTGCTTAAAAGCGACCATATATGTTAGATAGGAAAGAAAAAGGAGAGATAAGGACTACAGATGTTCGATAGGAAAGAAAGAGGAGAGATAAGGACTACAGATGTTCAATAGGAAAGAAAGAGGAGAGATAAGGACGATATATCGTGACCTCAGTGCTTCCTTGTCATATCTCCATTTTTAAAAACATGGAACATGTGACTACCTCTGAAGCTCCCTCTTTGTTATGAACTGTTTTCACTGTTATCAAAAATGTAGATAGGACAAGAAAGCACTGAGGTCACGACATGTTTGATATGACAAAAGGAGGAGAGATAAGGACTACAGATGTTTGATACGACAGAAGGAGGAGAGATAAGGACTACAGATGTTTGATATGATAGAAGGAGGAGAGATAAGGACTACAGATGTTTGATATGACAGAAGGAGGAGAGATAAGGACTACAGATGTTTGATATGACAGAAGAAGGAGAGATAAGGACTACAGATGTTTGATATGACAGAAGGAGGAGAGATAAGGACTACAGATGTTTGATATGACAGAAGGAGGAGAGATAAGGAAGATAAGAAAGAAAGAGAACACTCCAGCAGAGCAGCCTCCAGCTGCCCGGTATTTCACTAACCTGACAGGAGTAAACTGCAGGACTGCTCGGCGCAGCTTTCCCGTGGTGGAGTGGATGTCCCTGGGAACACACAGACAGAGGAATAGTTACACACAACATTTCTTTTAGTTTTAGTAAGAGTTTTAAGGCATTTGCAACACTATAAGGTCATATAAGTGCCAGAGATTAGAGGTGTTATAAGAGAGTAACAAACACAAAAAAGGAGGAGAGATCAGGACGATAGATGTTTAATAGGAAAGAAGGAGCAAGCCACACCAGAGCACCCACCAACCACCCACATATTGTTGGATAGTTATTATCAGGGTTGGTGATTTTTTTGATTTTTTAAATAAAAATTTTAAAAATCGATTTTTAAAAATTTAAATCGGATTTTTTTTTAATTTAAAAAAAATGTCGACACAGTTTAGGATTTTTGGTGGCTAAAAGTATGTTCTTTTAGTGCAAAATGCATTGTCTTTATTTTAAGTAATGATTAATTTAAGCAACTGCAAAAGAAAGCCTTAATCTGCTATATCAGTGAATTATGGCTACAGACAAAAAATGAAGAAAATGTCAGTCTCAAAGGAAGGGGGG